TCTGAATGTTGAGTTTTAAGCCAACTTTTTCACTCTCCTCTTTCACTTTCATCAAGAGGCTCTTTAGTTCTTCTTTGCTTTCTGCCATAAGGGTGGTGTCATCTGCATATCTGAGGTTATTGATATTTCTCCTGGCAATCTTGATTCCAGCTTGTGCCTTTAGATTCCCCATTTCTTGAGATTCTTCTTGCCTTGAATACCCCATTTCACCCAGATCCTCACAATATTAGCTCCTTCTCCTACAACATTTGGGCCTCTGGACCAGGTCCTTCTGCCTATGCCTTCTCTGCCCAGCAGGTGCAGAGTACACAAGCAGACACCTCCCAACCCCATCATGAGACCCTGCTTTCCTCTTTTCTCTCACTTTGAACTCTCTGAAGTCATCTTGAGCTCTTATCCTCTGAGTACTTATCTTACATCTCCTTCCACTTGAGTACATGCTCCATGAGGGCAGGGACCTGCCCAGGCCACAGGCGAAGAGAGCTCAATCTGTGTTTGTTGAATGAAGGCATGAAGCCCAACTCCAGGGGTCTGGAGAGCCTCCTTTGCTCATTTGCCTAGTGGACAATGCAAATTGCTGCTGCTAGGACAACTGCAAGGATTTGCCAGAAATCTAGGAGGAGGGGCCATCTGCCAAGGCGAAAACACAGCCACTTCGCGTCTTTCTTGGTGTTTAGAGCAATGACGTTTGTGAACAGGCAGGATGGTGAAGGGGTTCTGCGCAAAGGTTTTGGAGTTAGATTACCTGGATTAGATCAGAGCTCAGCCATTCGTTATCTAGGGCCCTCCGGCCAAGTTATTTAACATTCAAATAACTCAGCTTCCTCATTTGTAAAACTGGAATGATAATAACCCCACAGAAAATCTTTGTGAAAATCTAAAACATAAACATGTAAATAATTTGCAACAGTGCCTGGCACTTAGTAAGTGATCAATAAACATTACTGATTATTACCAGTGATTATCTTGATGGTTCATTCATTCTGTTTCATTTCCAGGGGCTTTTAAGTCTAGCCACATTCTTTCAACTCCCTTCCTGGCTGGCTCAGTGGTAAAGAATCTGCCTGTAGTGCAGGAGGCCCAGGTTCGATCTCTGGGTCAGGAAGATCTCCTGGAGAAGGGAATGGCAACCCATTCCAGTATTCTTGCTTGAAAGTGAAAGTATTGGTTGCTCAGTCATGCCTGACTCTTTGTGACCCCATGGACTGCAACCTGCCAGGCTCTTCTGTCCATGGAATTCTCTTGGCAAGAATACTGGAATTCTTGCTTGGAAAATTCCAAAGAGTCGGAGAGGATTGAGCAACTAACACTTTCATTTTCCCTTCTAATACAGCATCGCACAGGCAAGCGTGGTCAGAGAGAGCAAGTCTGCACACTGTCCTTCATGAGAGCTGTTGCTGGTTTTCCACTAGCAGGGCATGAGCTATGAGCATCTTTTCATTCATGTCTGTTGGTCCACTCACACCCTCTTCCATCTTCATTGATTCGCTCATTGATTGATTTGCTCATTCATTCAACAAACATTTACTGTGGTCCTATGTGAACCTGGACTCACTATCTAACCTCTCAGTGCCTTAGTCTCCTCCTCCAGCATCTGAGGACTCGGGGTCTTCGGTAGTTCTCCCCTCATCAGAGGGATAGATCTTAGTGGCCTCAACTGAATCGGCATCAGCAGGGTGGAAAGAAGTGGAGAAATTAGAGAGAAATTGAAAATCTGGAATAGACAGCATAAAGGTTGATTATTTTGTATATCAGGAAGCTGCTGTCTCCAGGGTAGAGAATGGATGGCACAGCAATTCTTTATTTGAAAAGGGATGAAAAAAGCTGAAATCCTCACAAGGATGGTTAAGAGAATCTAATAAGATAACATCACGATACCACTTTTGGAAGTAAGAAAAAGGGCTTCTAAGATGTTATCTTGTAGTGATGATACAGAACAAAGCAATGCAGTAATTCTCCAAATTCTCTAAGGGTGTCACTTTTGAGACAACATATCCCTGGTTTCTTTAATCTCAACTCCTGTAAACCAAGGATGTGAGCTTCTCACTTTGTCTACATCCCTCTCAAATTGTTGTGATCCATAATATGAAACCCCTGATTCAAAAAAAGATACACACACTTAAATGTTCATAGCAGCACTATTTACATTAGCAAAGACATGGAAACAACACAAGTACCCATCCACAGATGATTGACACAGATGATTGATTTAAGAAGATATAGTACATATACAATGGAATATTACTCAGTTATAAAAAAAGAATGAAATACTGCCATGTGCAACAACATGGATGGATTTAGAGATTATTGCACTAAATGAAGTGAATCAAAGAAATATTATACAATATCATATGATATTACCTATAAGTGGAATCTAAAAACAGTACAGATGAACTTATTTACATTACAGAAACTAAAATTGAAAACAAATGTATGGTTATGGAATCGGGAGTCATAAATTAGGAATATGGGATTAACAGATGTGTAGTATCGTACATAAAATAGCTAAATAGCAAGGATTTACTGTATAACACAAGAAACTTTATTTAATCTCTTATAATAAACTATAACTGTGAACTGTGGTGTTGGAGAAGTTGGAGAAGTGTGGTGTTGGAGAAGACTCTTGAGAGTCTCTTGGACTGCAAGGAGATCCAACCAATCAGTTCTAGAGGAAATCAGTCCTGAATATTCATTGGAAGGACTGATGCTGAAGCTCCAATACTTTGATCACCTGATGTAAAGAACTGACTCATTTGAAAAGACCCTGACTCTGACAAAGATTGAAGGTGGGAGGAGAAGGGGATGAGAGAGGATGAGATGGTTGGACGGCTTCACTGACTCAATGGAGATGAGTTTGAGTAAGCTTCAGGAGTTGGTGATGGACAGGCAAGCCTGGCATGCTGTAGTCAATGGACGCAAAGAGTTGGACATGACTGAGGGACTGAACTGAAATGAACTGAATAAACTATAATGGAGAATAATCTGAAAATACATATTATATATATATATATGTATATATATATATATATATATATACAAACATATCTGAATCACTTTACTGTACACCTAATACTAACACAGTATTATAAATCAACTACTTTTGTTGCTGTTGTTCAGTCGCCAAATCAATCTGACTCCTTGTGACCCAAAGGACTGTAGCACATCTGGCTTCTTTCTCCCTCACCATTCCCCCGAGTCTGCCCAACTGTATCTCAATTTTTGCCACCCAAGGAAATGCAGCACTAAGCCTGGGGTTTGACCCCATGACACTGTCGTGCAGCCTAAGACCACAGCAAGGTTTGGTGGCCTCACCCCTTTGGGTCACTTATGTTAACTCTGACCCAGGATGCCCTCCAGACCTTCACCACATGACTGGTTTCAGAGCCAAGGTGTGAAGCAGCTGTTCTTAGGGCACAATAGAGAGCAGCTATAGACACACCAGCAGAGGTGGAGAGAAAAGTGTAGGGAGGATAAAGACAGAAGCACATGTTCTTCACGTCAGTCAAAAGTGGGCTGTGATCTGGGTTCCAAGTTTCCTATCTACTCAAGCAAAGAAAGTAGATACAGTCAAGTCAGTTAGTCCAGTATCCATAAGATGCTGTTGTTTAGTAGCTACAGGTTTGACTCTTTTTTTATTTCATGGACTATAGTCTGCCAGGCTCCTCTGTCCGTCGGATTTCCCAGGCAAGAAAACTGGAGTGGGCTGCCATGCCCTCCTCCAAGGGGTCTTCCTGACTCAGGGATCGAACTCAGGTCTCCTTCATTGGTAGGTGGATTCGTCACCACTGAGCCACCAGGGAAGCCCATCCATAAGATAAATGCCTATCAGTTGCTTCGGAAAAGCAGATATTTTTTATTTTTATTTTTCAGTCTGGGAAATGTCTCTATGCAATGGGCACAACAGTAAGGTGCCATGTTTAAAAATGCTCTGATAATAGCAGACATTTTGAAAGCAATGATACTGAGTCCTGTCAAGGGTGTGGTAAAACTGAAAAGCTCATAGATTGCTGATGACATTGGCTATTAGTAAAGCCTTCTGAGAAACACTTTTACCAATAAGTATCAAATGCCACAAAATATCATACTTTTTATTCTACTAATTTCAAGGGAAAAAGCTAAAATAAGGAAAAGCTCTGTGCAGGGCTAGTAATGAGACTGAAAAACTGGAAACAATGGAAATGTACAATGACAGGGAACTGGCTAAATAAATGATTGCATATCCACCCAAAAGAATATTATGGTAACAAAACCTATGCTATGACACAGAAAATGCTTATGACATAATGTTAGCTGAAACAGCAGGCATCAAAATTTATGCTAGGGTTGTAGTTAATTTTTGTACAAATACAGGAATGAAAACATAAAAATGGGTATTTGTCGGGGTAGCAGGATGGTGGGGAGAATAAAAGATTTTTGTATAATACATTGTGTACAAAATCAACTCTTTTTGGGAAATAGAAAAGAATTTTTCTTCCTAGAAATATTCTTAATTGATAAGGAAGTTCAAGATATTCTTGAAGGAAGCATAAAAAATCTATAAGAATGTTATACTGGTTGTTTTTCTTTTTGAAAAATAGATCATTCCCTACAGACAATATGTAGTTTTGTTTGTTTTTTCTTTTTGACTGATAGGCTTGATTCTTACTTGATTTAAGAGAATGGGCAGAATCGTGAAATCTTTTTAAATGTTTATCCAAATGGTGTGTAACATAATGTCCACAAGCAAACAGCAGTGCCTGGCTCTCGGCCCCTAGATTCTGGTCCGGAGACATGCTTGGAGACATAGGGAAATGAGAACAGGCCTTCAGGAGGCCCTGTTCTTGTCCTGCCTTTGTGTGGTAAGAAAACGTATAACCAGTTGCGTATGTGATTTTTTGCATTAGGTTCTTGAGGAACTATCAAGTCATGGAACAGGAACTATAAATTCACAATCAATGTAACTTATAATTTCCCCCAGAGCTAATGGGTTTTATTTACTCCTTTTGAAATATGTGCAGATATTGAGGGCTTCCCTGGTGGCTCAGCTGGTAAAGAATCTGCCTGCACTGCATGAAACCTGGGTTTGATCCCTGGCTTGGGAAGATCCCCTGGAGAAAGGAAAGGCTACCCACTGTAGTATCCTGGCCTGGAGAATTCCACGGACAGTCCATGGGGTTGCAAAGATTCGGACACGACTGAGTGACTTTCACTTTCACTTTTCCCTGGTGGCTCAGTGGTAAAGAATCTACCTGCCAATATAGGAAACGCAGGTTCGATCCCTGGGTTGGGAAGATCCCCTGGAGAAGGGAATGGCAACCCACTCCGGTATTCTTACCTGGGAAGTCCCATGGACAGAGGAGTCTGGCGGGCTACAGTCAATGGGGTTGCAAAAGAGTCAGACATCACTTAGGGACTAGAGAACAGCAACAGTACACACGGTTTCACCATCACTGAGATCAGCATCACCCTTCGCTGAGCCACCTAGCGAAGCAGGACAGACCACTCTCTCCCCAGCACTGCACAACCCTTCTCCTGTTGGTTCTGCCCAAGACATCCAGTCGATTTCAGCTGCTTCTCTTGAGGCCCTGCTACAGCTCCAGCTCCTGTGATCTTTCACCTGGACCACAGACACAACTTCCTAACTGGCTTCCCTGTCTCCAGACTTGCTGCCCCACCAGCAGGATCTTTCTAAAAGCCAAGTGCGATCATTTCATTTCCTTGTAGAAAACAGTGGGCGCCTCCTCGCTACCCACACTGGAGAAAATGCCAGCATCCGCAGGCTAGCCCAGGATGCCCTCCGTGACCTCCCCTAGCCCAGCTCCCATTCTCAAATCCGGCCTCTTCCCCAATGTGCTCCCTGAGCTTCAGGGAATGCTGATTCCTCTGCCTGGAATGCCAAACCCACCTTTTTCCCCAGTCACCCCAAGGAGCTCTTCTTTCTCTGAGCCTCCCCGACTTCCCCTGGGACCCTACTCATGAACCCTTAGACGCCCCCTGCCTCTCTTTTCCTAGTAAGCTGGGAAGCAGTAGGACACGGAAGTGCGTTGGTTAAGCACACAGGCAAGTCATAGCTCAGGCACTGTGCCCATCACTCTGTACATATTATCTCAGTCAATCATTACAAGC